CTGGGGTAACCCCTTGGTCATGATGTGTCGTCCTTTTAATATAGTTAGATTCTATTTGCTAAAGTGTTGTTTAGAATTTTTGTATCTATGTTTATGAGGGACAGTCTATAGTTTTCTTGTAATTATTGCCTAATTTTGGTATCAGGTTAATTAATGCTGGCTTCATAGAATGGATTGAGAATTATTCCCTCTTCAGTTTTTTGTTTGTGTTTTTTTGGAAGAGTTTCTGTAGAATTGATATTACTTCTTCCTTAAATGTTGAATAGAATTGACCAGTGAAACCATCTGGGCCTGGAATTTTCTTGATGGAAAGGTTTTTAAGTACAAATTGAGTTTAACTGATAGAGGGCTGTTTTGGTTATATATTTCTTCCTGTTTTGAACATCTTTTTTGAGTTAAAATTCAAATACTATAATATTTACCCACTTAAAATGTATAATTCAGAGGCTTTTCATATCCTCCAAGTTGTGCAACCATCAATACAATTTTTGAGCATTTTCATTAACCCCAAAAGAAGACCAGTACCCATTAAGCAGTCATACCTCACTGTCCCCTCCTCTTCCTCCTGCCCCTGGAACCACAGACCTACTCTGGATATTTAATATAAATGATTTATAAAATATGTGGTCTTTGTGATTGGCTTCTCTTACTTAACATAATATTGTCAAAGCCCATCTGTGTTGTATGCATGCCCCCGTACTTCATTCCTTTCTATTGCCAAATAATATTTCACTGTATAGATATACCACGTTTTATTTATCCATTTATTAGTTGATGAACATTTAGATTGTTTCCACTTTTTGGTTTCTTATAAATAATGCTGATCTGAATATTTGCATATAAGTTTTTATGTGGACATGTTTTCAGTTCTTTTGGGTATATTTAAAAAAAGATTTATAGTAGTGATTTTGAGCTCAGAATGTTCTCTATCTCATTAATGCCAATTCATGCAATTTAGTTCACATTTATATGCATCAGTTACAGGGAGAGCCTGGGGGAACTCTGCATGTGGGATGAAAGAGTAACAGGGTGGTTGCCTTTTTTTTTTTTGGCAGTCTCCTTACTGACCAGGAAATATTCTGTATAAAAGCCCTCAATCAAATCTGTAACTTCGCCACTTCTCCTCTGATCTTAATTGCCTTGGCACTGCTCTTCTCTGTGAGATACTCATTGGAAATGGAAGACCCTTTCTGAAAGAATGGTCCCTTCTTCTGGGGACCCTTGCCAAGGGCTGATAGTTGGGAATGTATGACATAATGAAAATGCAGGCCAGTATCCTAACAGTCTCCCCTAACCCTGTGTGTGACCTTTCTTTATTAGGGTATGTGAGGTTGAAAGTTTGTATACAGTCCTGGTGTTCACATCATTCTTCATCATTCACTTTTTCTGTGTACTTTTGGGGAGAGCATTAAAAAAAAATTCCCCTTTTAGATTTCCTTGAGGATTTAAAAAACAGCTAACATGTCTTGAGCACTTCTAGTGTAGTAGACACTGAGCGAAGAGGATTAAATACTGTATCTCATTTACTTCTCTCATTCCTTTAAGATGATGTTACTCCATTTTTCATGTGGAACTGGAGTGGTTATAGAACTTTCCCAAGGTCACAGATAGAGTTAAAAGATAGAAGTAAGACTTGAGCCCAGATTTATTGCATTATAAAGTTGTAGCTACTAAGGTCTTAGTTATTAACACTTAGTATTTGAGCCACACATCCTTTGTATTTAAAATGAGCTCATGTATGCTAGTTTTGTGTTTACTTGACACGTTTGTGGTCGCTTTGCACATGGTGGCCGTCTCAGGGTGAGTACAACACAGAATCAATTAAATATTAGGGGAGTACATTCTTGACCATAAGTAAAATTACATATTGTGAAAAAAAATATTAGGGGAAAATCTATTACTACTGAGTAAGCCCTTGTTTGTGCTCTGAACTTTAATTGATCCTTTAACGCCCAGCACCATGAAAACCTCTTCTGTAGGCTTCTCAGAAAAACAGCTGCATCAGTCTTTATGTATTCAAAGTACTTCATACTGGCTTCTGATGCAAATGGTGGCTATACATTTGCTTGTCTGCCTGTTATATATTTAAAAAATACATTTCCTTAAAAATATAGAGAGATAACATACATACCACAAAGTTTTCTCACTGTAAGTGTTTTTATTAAGTTTACTGGGTTGTGCAGCCATCAGTATAATCCAGTTTTAGAACATTTCCATCTCCCCATAAAGTTCCCTCATGCCTACTGTCACCCAAGCCCTGTTGCCATCCCCAAGCACAGGCAGCCTTTGATCTGCTTCTGTATCTGTAGACACGCCTCTTCCGGACATCTCATATAAGTGAATCAAGTCACATGTGGTCTTTTGTGTCTGACTTTTTACTCAGCATATTGGTTTTGAAGTTCATCCATGTTAGAGCATGCATTCTGTCACTTTCTTATTGCTGTATAGTATTCTCTGGTATGGATATGCCACATTTTGTTTATGGCTTCATCAGTTGATGGACATTGGGGTGTTTGCACTTCTGGGCTGTTATGAATACTGTTGTGAACATGTGCATGCATGTCATTGTGTGCACATTTTCATTGCTTTTGAGTAGATACAGAGGAGTGGAATTGATGAGCCATGTGGTTACCATCTTTGATTCCTTGGGGGCAGAAACCTCACCTTGAAGTTTTAGTATTGCCTTTGTGGTCTTTAAATTCACTCATTTAGCATGCCCAACACATAGTGGGTCCTGAAACTCATCGGGAGAGATTTATGGTGCATCTTGTATGAACCTTTGGTTTTTATGCACACTCTCCCCGTTTCTCCATTTTGGAGAGTTTTATTCTTATCTCAGTTCCTTACAGTTTTAGCCAACAATCCTAACAGTATTGGATGGCCCCGATTCTTACTTCGAGCACAGCCGCACGTGTACTGAGACAGGGCTCTAGGTGACAGTGACACATGAAGGATCCTAGAAAAGCTTATGGCTATTTTACAGTGTGTACACGATTCCTCTGTTGACCTGCATCAGTTTTCCTTTGTAAGCAACTTTATTCTTCAGTGTGAATGTAGCCCATATGCCCCATATCCCTTGGAGAAATGTTGATTTTCCTGTGGCTGTTGATGAGACAGGTTCCTTGTTGGATATTTGACAAAGTCAAGCATATTGTCTCTGGGCAGTTACTGTTTTTGACCAGCAACATCCCCAGGGGCTAGGACACATGCGTTTAGGAGAAGGAAATATCATTGTTCAGTGTCTAACTCATAATTGATTATGGTAGCAGAAGGGATTAGATTAAAAGGAGATCATGTCACAAGGACTGACACAGAATGCTCAGTATGGGTTCTTCTAATCTAGTTAGGAGCTTCATATTAATAATTTCTCAGTAGTGCTTAAGAGCATGAACTCTGGAGCCAGATGCCCAATGTTTGTGTTTTTTTTTTTTTTTTTAAAGGTTCTATTTAACCACTTCAGAGCTTTGTGACCCTAGGCAAGGAACTCAGTTCTGTAAGCCCGTTTTCTCATATAAATGCAATGAAGGTAATCATGGTAGTTGACAGCACTTGTGAGGAGCATTTTACAGCGCTGCTGTGGAGCTTTGCTAACTTAAATGAGATAATGTATTGAAATGTGATGCCTGGCGCTTGGTTGAATGCTCAGTAAATGTAAAACATTAATCTAAGAACAGAAAAACAAAACCAGTTCCCCAGGAGGCTTGTGGACAAGAGGCATGTTCTTGGACATGGGATAAATGGCCTCATTACAGAGACTTTCCGTTCAGACCTCAATAAAACAGGCGTTAGCTGCTCTGAACCACTTGCTTAAACTCTGAGTCTGTTGCCTTTTTTATAAATGGAGTTAGTATCTTCCTCCGAATTTTTCTCCTTTCATGCATGCACCGGGTGAGGACTCGCTGTTGTGATGTGTGTGACGGTGTTCTCCAGCTCTGCTACTTGCCGGGGACACTGAGGCAGTGCTGTGCGCGCACGCTGCTGCTGGACCTGGGCCTCTGCAGCGCTGAGCGCTGGGGAACGGTTTGCTAGACACACTGCTCCAATCATGTGTTCTGACTGACTGAGGCCACAGGGATAGTATTTTTCTCTCTCGTACTCTTTCTGCAGTATTTATCACCTAGCAAAGCAGGTACATAGCAAATGCTTGGTATACTTAGGATGGCTAAGGCAAACTTGGGTTTTAAATCATAATGCCTTTTTTCTTGGTAAAGGAAGTCAGTGGTGGAGAAAAGAGTATTTATTTTTTAAATTTTTTTTGAAAGATTTTATTTATTTGACAGAGAGAGACATAGTAAGAGAGGGAACACAAGCAGGGGGAGAGGGAGAGGGAGAAGCAGGCTCCCCGCGGAGCAGGGAGCCCGATGCGGGGCTCGATCCCAAGACCGTGGGATCATGACCTGAGCCGAAGGCAGACGCTTAACGACTGAGCCACCCAGGTGCCCCGAGAAAAGAGTATTTATAGGAAAGTTTGTCTGTGACATCATCCAGTCCACGGATCTGACCTCACACAAGGTACTTTGGGGAAATACTCAAGAGGTTGTACAGAAGAGCTGGTTTACCAGGTGAGCCCCTTCTGAATTTATGGTTTATACTGTGCCTCTGTGCTGCCGTATGTACTAAATATGTTTTTCTCTGGGAGAAATAATTGATTTTAAATTAAGGCAAGAATTTTGGCTAGATAACATGTTTACATAAAATGTCACTTTTCATGATAAAGACTGATCGAGTGGGAGAACCCTTGGGCGTGGGTTCTTCCTTCCCTTCGTACCCTTTGCAGGAATTGGCGTAGGACCATTCGAGGTGTGGACGGCATGGTCTGTGTCTCTGGCACCAGGGTGAAGTTCACTTGGGATTTCCACCCCATTAGCCTGCAAACATCGCCACATCCACTTCAGTGTCTTAAAAAAGTTGCCTGAAGTGATAACTCTGCCTTCAGTAGAAGGAGAAAAAAAAGGAAAATTGGAACTGCATGAGTTTTACAAAAGCATGTTGGAGTCACATAATGAAAAAGCAGATTTTTTTATTATGATGTTTCTCCATATTTGGCATTGCTGTAAATGGCTAACTAACATTTACTGCCAATTCAATACAAATGTGTGGTTTGGTAATACCAGAACAGCAAATTTAAATGAAAAATAAAAGTTAAACATTTCCACACAAGATTTTACAGTCTGACATTTCACTGTGTAGGTAAAAAGACATTTTTTTTTTTTTTTACTACAGATTATTATTCAGCATGAATAAAAAACTACAACTTTTTATTTTTAAACAGGAGTCACTGGTTTTAATTTTTACACATTTTTAAAATTACTGTGATAAAAAATAATGAAAAAGCTTCTTAATAATGCCATACACAGTATAATATAGATTTGTCCCCATTATATAGCATTTGTTTAATATACAAAATAGAATATTGACACACTTGAATCTATATGTAGTTAAGCAAGTTATTTGAGGAGGGTATTTTCATACAGCCTTTCATCAGAAAATAAAATCCTTCTTTTAGGCATTTTCTAGAGAGAAGACAATCCTTTCCTGAAAACCTGGTCACTAATCCCTGGTGGACCAGGCTGACTGATCACAGTCTGGAAAATGATGCAACTTCCATTCAAAGTGGTTAAAGTGTCCTTACATTCCTCTTCTCCCATCCAACTCTCAAACCAGGCACGTGAAAACACATTCATTTACAGCTACAGTCTTGAGGGTGACCGGCCAACACTGAAATCTCACTGAGGGCTGCCAGGGTTCTTGAGTTTTGACAGACCAGAGTCTAATCTTACTGTTCATTCCACAGTGATGTCGCTTTAGGGTATTAAACACAAAACTAAGCTAAGACTGATGGAGAAGAGGTGGTTTAGGTAAAAAACTGCCCCTGCCCCCCCCCCAAGTTCTGAAGCGAGGTCAGCTTTCCTTTGCACGCACACCCAGAGCTCACCTGATGCTAACTATCAAGCTCTTCAGACACGAGTCATGTTAGCTTTCCTTTTGGGGTGTCCTTTTCTTTTTCCTCTCTCCAGAAGGTAGATGCCCTTTCAGGTTCCCCTGCCAGAGTTTTAGACAAGCACTTGGACAGTGTCCCCAGCAAGGCCTAAAAACACCGAGAAGGACACATTTTTCCACTAGTAATTAAAAATACGTTTCAGGATTTGCTGTAAGTCACCTCGGCATGTTGCCAACTCTCCCTCAAGTTGCTACAAACTTAGTTTGGGATGACAAGACACCACCTACGTAGAAAATGAAGCTGCTTTCCAATAGCACCGGATCTTTTCTCACTTAAATCGTAACTCTACTCAAACGTAGCTAAGATAACCTTCTTCCTTCCCACTTATTTCACAAGAGCACAACTTCTTTTCCATGTAGGATACAGCCTCCTAGTTTCACAAATGTCAGTTGATTTTCTTTTGACCAAGTGCACGTGTCTCTTTTTTCACTGAACTCTATTTTTTTTGAGAACCAAAGTTGGAACTAAAATAAGAGTAACATGTGATGTGCTTTGTGGTTTTAACCATATAACCTTTCATAATGAACAATAATTTACCTTCCAGAAGCTCTTTTTGAGACTTAACACTGTCATTGATAATAATATTCAAGCGGTATTTCTTAGGCACCAAAAATTTCATATCCAGCTGGGTTACAGACCATCTTAAAATACTTTGAGATCAATTTAAACCATTACAAAAGGAACATTCCCTTTTAGAGAGCATTCAAAAAGCAAATGATTACATTTTTTATTAAATAATTTCTCCAAATACTGAAAAATAACAAATAACATTCAAAAAAGCATTCAAAGAAAACAAACATGTACTCGGTTTGTTTGGAAATGAACTCTAGTAGGATAGAAAGAAATTAGTGTATTATTTGGCAACCTATGGGATTCTGCACTATTTACAGACTGCTGGTACCTCTACGCGTCTTATTGCCAAAGTCCTGAAGCCCCCGTGTTGACCACACTGCTGGAGGGGCTCTGTGCTCTGTGGGAAAGTAGCCCTGCTGTCAGGGAGTGCTGGGAGGGGGTGGGACGGCAGGCACCACCTCTCTGTCCCCGCCCCCCCCCCAAACTGCACACTTGAGCCAGGGGAGACTCCGCCCACATACCTGGGCGGACAGACTCACTGTGGGAATGAGGAGGGCGGTCACCTACTGTGGGAGGCGGAGGATGACTCGCTCTGTGACCTGAATGGGATGGAGCCTCGGCAGCCTTCACAGCATACGGGGGCCGGTCTCCGTGTCCCTCTTCCCCTAGAGCAAACCTGTTGCGTTTCTGAGACCACTGCTGCCTGTATGAATGCTTGCACACACTATAAATCATATGGGTTCTCCATCAACATTTCTTTGACCCCTACAAAAAATATATAACATGTCGTGATAAAACAATCTCATCTAAAAATCATTCTTATTTTACACTATACAAGCTATTTTACAATCATTTTAATAAATTGCATGTAAAGCTGCAGTAGCCCTTCCCTTCCCAGATTAGTGAATACCAATATGATATATATCTGAAACTATAACTAAATATAAAAATATATTAGAAGTTTCATATTTTTTAATATTAGATTTTCAGTTTTCTATTACACAAATAATTTGGCCACCTTGAATAGAAATCAGATTTCTTGTGGCTTAGTAAATATAAGTTTTGAGTTTACAGAAAGTTGGTAAGGTGCACACAGAAAGGGCTACTACAGCTTCTATTTTGTTTAAAATCATTCTCAACAGTGAGGAGAAGTTCACAAGACTTTTGTTAAACTCTATGGCACACAGAGGGATGTGAGGCATGTGTAGTCTTACAAACATGGAAGTCTGACAGTTCGAAATCACAAAAATCAGTAGCTGAGCTTTCCTGCACCGCCAGGAAAGAGAGACCAATTGGTGATGGATGGGAATGTGAAAATGGGTGTCTGGCTACCTTTGCCATATTGGAAATTTATTTGGGGGGTCAAGTTGAGTGAGAGGAAATACTTGGTCTGATTCATATCTCTCAGCTGGTTATCTGGAATCCTGACTTTTTCAAGAACTTATACAAACTACAACAAAAGGTCCTGAACGACCGTTGACCAACTTTCTTGCCATCTAGCCATAGCAGAGATAGGGCATTAAGTGCAAACAGGGCCTCTTGGTAGTTTTTTTTGTTGTTGGTGGTGTTTTTTTTGTTTTTAAATTAGTCGTTTGCAACCATCATCCACAGTTTACCGAGCAGGTCACTGGACTAGGTGCTCTACACCAGTTAGGACAGTTAATTTGCACAGCCTAGAGAATTCTCCACTGAAGCAGATATATACAAAATATGAGCTTTTTTGACGAGAATACTGGAGATATGAGTCAATTTTTGTGGTCTTCTGACAGCTAAGGGCCATCAGGTTAGAAGCACCAACCCATTTTCACACAGAAGATTAATGTTTAGAGTTTGTTTAGGAAAGCTATGAACTAGCTGCCCATCTTAAACAGCTGTACAATAACTTGGATACAAAAATTATGTAAGAAAAAATGAGCAAGCATAGTTCACTGAATATAAAGGAAATTGTTAAAATCAGACAGTAATAGCTATAAAAGGCACAACTTCCCTTTTCTGATATACACTTGTAAACTTTTTTTCAGGTTTCCATGCATAAATCAAAAAATACTATCCTAACTATACAGGGGAAAATACACCAACAAAAATTCTAGAAAACTTTGTCCAGCCAGCTGTGAAAAGTATGAGCAGAAAGTTTGTCACGCAGACTTCGGGCACTGGGGGTTTAGGTGCCATCCTTCCCTGACAGTGGAGATCACCCCCCATGACTGCGGCTCATTTCTGGGGTCCACCTACTATCACTCTCTACTCTTCCCACCACTGAGAAGCGATGGCTTACCTGCTTCTGTTGCCAAGTCTTGGCCCTCTATAAACCACATGTAGTGCGTATTTAAAACGAAAACAAAGACCAGACAAAAACAGGAAAAAATAAAACAGCAAAACCGCTACAGGACAAATTGATAGTTTGTACAGTAAAAGCTATAAATTCAACTTTCTTTAAGGCAACCTTTCTTGTTAAGGCAGTCACTTTTGATGAAACAGAAGTTTTTTGATATTTCCACTTGAATATTTTGGTATCTGATTGGTGATGATTTCAGCCAACATCTCTGGGAATTCAATACTCATGGTCTTATCCAAAAATGTTTGGAAGCAAAAGTTAAGGAGACTTTCAACCACCTGCAAGAGAAAATATACAAACGATTATTCTTAAAAACTTACTGGTAGGAATATCTTGTACTTTTTGGCCTCTAATTTAGAAAATACATCTGACCTAGAATATACCAATCTTTGCTGGACTCCACCAGATAAAGAAGTTCAGTTAAATAAAGTGGGCATTCAGGTTACCAGGCACATTTTGGATTCTTTAGAATTGTATACAGAATTACATGGTGAACTCTAGTACAATAATATGTGAAGGACATATGCTAATTTAATTGATTAGTCGTATAAAAACAGGATATTGATGTTTTTTAGTTAAACAGTGCTATTAAATTCTGTACTGGCATCAGGATGTTCTATGCATGTGACTAGATGAAATAATATTTCATAACTGGCCTTAGGAGAAATGTGTGCCAAACTGAGGTTGACAACATGAGCTCCAACCATCACCAAAATCCGCCAACAGGAAAAGAACCAAAACAAAACCGAAACTATTGAGGTATCATTATATATAATCAATCAGATTATATGTAATTATAATTAACCCAATGTCCCAGACAGTATTCCGGATATCAGGTCTTAGGTCTGACACTTACATCATGCATGGAGTCCAAGAGTTTTGTCAGTTGGTAAAAGCGCTGCCAGTTCTGGCTGGAGTTCCCTTCCCTCTTCACAATGGCTTTTCCTAGCTCTTTGATGTAGGTCATTCGAATTTCATCAAATAGCTCTTGGCTCTTCAAACCTTCCTTAGGAACTAAAAGGTTAAGATGTTGTCAAGAAAAGGATTTTCTCATGGTAACTCTGCCTATGTGCCTGTAGGGCATTTGTTATTAATAGCACGCTTCCTGACATACACTATATATACACTCTGAATACATTCTATGAAAACACAAGCATTTCATGGGCTCAGGAAAGTACAGGCAAGAGAGATTAGGGGATAATAGAAAATTGGAGGATTTAACCTGGAGTCATGCCCTGCTGGGGAGCATGTATCTGCCTTCCCTTGTGTACTTAGAAAATACCTTATGGATTCTAGGTTGTAAAACTGGTATCAAGTCAGTCGTTTTATATTACTCTTCAAAAACTGGTACTGGGGAGAAGGACTGTGAACAGAAGGTTAATCATGTTGTCCGTGAATCCTGCAAAGACTGACTTTTGTACATGGCCAAATTTCTCAAAGTGTGTTCCTAGGAACTCTGGTTCTGTGTTAAATGGTTAGGGAAAAAAGGATTTGGTCAAAATGTAAGCAAAACTAAAGGCTAATACAAAGTTAGGCAGATTACTGGTTTTCAGGATTTGTCAGAGCCAAAATCAGGCACTTTCTAGGGAGGTGAGCATGTTGTTTCCCAAACTTCACTTCCTGTTGCTGACCTCTTAGAAAATGCTGGAATTCAGGAAAAGCACTGGCTTTAGGAACAAGAAGTTTTAATTCTTACTTGCCCTGTGGATTTGAGAATAACCTGCCTGAGCTGTGTCTCCTACTCTTTCTCATTGAGGGTTTTTTTTTTTAATTTGTATATATTGCAAAATGTTCACAATACATCTATACTTAACATCCATCACCATATATTAAACATATTTTTTCTTGCGATGAAAACGTTTAAAATTTACTCAGCAACTTTCACATATATAATATATAGTACTAATAACGATAATCACCATGCTGCATGTGACAGCCACGACTTACTTATTTTATGCCTGGAAGTTTGTCCTTTTTAACCCCCTTCCCCCGCTTTCTCCCACCCTTCAATCCGCCCTCCTGTGGAGACCACCAGTCTGTTCTCTGTACAGACGAGCCTATCTCCTTGTTTGTTTTTAGAGTCCACATATAAGTGAGATTCTATACTTATTTGTACTTGTCTTCCTCTGACTGGCTTCCTTCACTTAGCCTAATGCCCTCAAGGTCCATCCATGTTGTTGCGAGTAGCAAGATGGCACTCTTTTCGATGGTGGAATAATATTCCATCGAATATATGTATACTGTATATACCATATATATCCCATCTTTATCCATTCATCCATAGATGAGCACTTCAGTTGTTTGTGTCTTGGTTATTGTAAATAGTTATTGCCATGAATATGAGGCTACATATATTTTTCAAGTTAGTGTTTTCATTTTGTGTGGACAAATGCCCAGAAGTGGAATTACCGGGTCATGCGGTAGTCCTATTTTTAACTTCTTGAGGAACATCCATACTGTTTTCCACAGTGGCTGCACCACTTTGCATTCCCACCAGAAGTGTGCAGAGTTCCCTCTTCTCCACACCTCTGCCAACACTTATTTCTTGTCTTTTTGATAACAGACATTCTAATAGATGTGAGATGAGATATGGCTTTGATTTGCATTTCCCTGTTAATCACTAGTAATGATGAGCACCTTTTCACGTGCCTGTTGGCCAGTCAGGATTTGCAAGTATTTTCTCCCATTCTGTAGGTTGCCTTTTCATTTTGTTGATCATTTTCTTTGCTGTGCAGAAGTTTTATAGTTAGATGTGGTGCCAGATTTTTATTTTTACTTTTTTGGCCTTTGCTTTTGGTGCTGGATTCAGAAAGTCATTGCCAAGACTGATGTTAAGGAGCTTACTGCCTCTGTTTTCTTCTAGGAGTTTTATAGTTTCAGGTCTTACGTTCAAGTCTTTGATTCATTTTTGGGTTAATTTTTGTGTATGGTGTAAGATAGTCGTCCACTTTCAGTCTTTTGCATATGGCTGTCCATTTTTCCCAGTATCATTTATTGAAGAAACTGTTCTTTCCCCATTGGACACTCTTGGCTACTTTGTTGTAAATTAATTGACCATCTATGTCTGGGTTTATGTCTGTGCTCTCTAATCTCTCCATTGAACTCTGTGCCTCTTGTCTCTTTTTATGCTGGCGCTGTCTTGTTTTTATGACTACAGCTTTGTAATATAGTTTGAAGCCAGGGAGTGTGATGCCTCTAGCTTTGTTCTTCATTCTCTAGGTTTCTTTGGCTATTCTGGGTCTTATTTATAGTTCCATACAGAATTTAGGATTATTTGTTCTGTGAAAAATGCCATTGGAATTTTAAGAGGGATTGCATTTGGAAATATGGACATTTTGACAGTATTCTTCCAATCCATGAATGTGGAATATCTTTCCATTTATTTCTGTCATCTTCAATTTCTCTCATCAGTGTCTTAAGAGTTTTCAGTGTACAGGTCTTTCACCTCCTTGTATACATTTTATTCCTAGATACTTTATTATTTTTGATGCAAATGTAAATGGAGTTATATTCTTAATTTCTCTTTCTGCTAGTTCATTATTAGTGTATAGAACTGCAACAGATTTTTGCATATTGATTTTGTATCCTGCATGGTTAGTAAATCTACTTGTTCTAACAGTCTTTTTGTGGAGTCTTTAAGATTGTAATATCATGTCATCTGCCAAGAGAGTTTTATTTAGTCCTTTTAGATTTGAATGCCTTTTATTTCTTGTCTAATTGCTCTGGCTAGAACCTTAATACTGTGTTGAATAAAAGTGATGACAGGGGATATCCTTGTCTTAATTCCTGATCTTAGAGGGAAAGCTTTCAGCTTTTCACCATTGAGTATGATGTTAGCTGTGGGTTGTCATATATGGCCTTTATTATGCTGAGGTTATGTTCCCTATATACTCATTTTGTTGAAAGTTTTTATCAAAAATGCCGAATTTTGTTAGATGCTTTTTCTGCACCTGTCGAGATGATTTTTACCTTTTATTTTGTTAATGCAGTGTATCACTCTCCCTGGATTTGGACTAGAGCTAGAACAAGGAAAACATTCTGATTCTATGAAACAATACTTGGCACTTGTAAGATGTCAGTATTACTGTGAAAATGAAGGCTACTTAATCAGAAGTGGTAAGAGCCTACCATGTTAAAAATGGGTTAATATATTACAGATAACCTAATTATTGTTAATATCTTAAATATTAAAATTTAATATTTTCACTGATAGTTTATCCGTAATTTTTTTTCTTGCATGTTACCCGATTTCTAAAAATCATGATGGGAGAAGCCCTATGCAGTGCTTACATTTAAAAGAATTTCATCTATCCCAAATTACCCCTAATTATCCTTGTAGCTCCATGAATTTTTTGCTTCATGTGGTTAAGCCATATACTTAGAATTACTTTCCTGGTAGTAGAATGCTTTATGTAAGGAGTATCTTTAAATAAAGAGCTGTTTTTTGTTTTTTGTTTTTTTTCCCTACTTTAAAGTCTGTGCTGATAATAAATGTAGCTGCCATAGATTTCTTTTGGTTTAAAACAGTGGTCAGCAAACCATGACCAGTGGCCTAGTCCCACCAGGAGGCTGTGTTTGTAAATAAAGTTTTATTGCAACATAACCATGCTTGTTCTTTCTCTTGTTGACTGTGTTCATTCTATATGCAGCAGAGTTGAGCAGCTGTGACAGTGTGTATACAAAACTGAAAACATTTACCATCTGACACCCTATAGTGCAAGTTTATCATCACTGGGTTACTGTATGGCCTTTTACTTCAGTCATTCAGTAGCTTTATTTACATATTCTCATGTCAATAGCATAAAGTTGGGTTTTTTTAAATACAGTCTTGGATTTTTTTGTGGGTCTTTTTTTACCTTGGAGCTTTTATCTCCTATTTAATGAAATTGCTGATAAATTTATTTATACACCATTTGTTACTTTCCCTTACCATGCATTTGTTTATGCTCTCCCCCCTCATTTCGTTTGGATTGCTTTTCCTTACCATGTTTGCCTCAGCTGCCACCCCCATCCACCAACTTGGTGGTTCGGTACTTTGCAGTCAAATGCTCTACCCCTGAGTTGGTTCGGTACTTTGTATACTTCTCCTATCTTTAGCCATCATTACTGAAATTTTTTTTAAAAAAGATTTTATTTGAGAGAGAGAGAGAGCGCACAAGCGGGGGGAACTGCAGGCAGAGGGAGAAGCAGACTCCCTGCTGAGCAAGGAGCCCAATGTGGGGCTTGATCTCAGGGCCCTGAGATCATGACCTGAGCCTAAGGCAGACGCTTAACTGACCGAGCCACCCAGGTGCCCCTGAAATTTAAACACTCATTCTTATCAACCTACCCTTCTTGCTTATGTGTAATTATTGTGTATTTCAATTCTGTTTTTTAGACCCTTCAAAACACTACTGTTATTTTATACAATAAATATTAGTTTAAACGTATCTACAGATTTACCATGCTCTGTTCTTTTTTCCTTTTTGGAGATGGGACTCCTTTCCCTTAGCCTAAGTATACCCTTCAATCTTACTTTACTGAGGATCTCTGGTGGCAAACTTTCTTTTCACCTTCATTAAAAAAAGAATGGACTGGTACATTTGACTATTCACATGTCAGGTAATCGATATATTTGGGTTAAGAGCTATCATGTTTGTCACTGTTTTCTACTCATTGCACTGGTTCTTTCTTTTGTAATCCTTGCCTCTTTTCTACCTTCCGTGGTTTTTGCTGAGCATTTCGTATGATTCTAGATTCTCTCCTCTCAGTCTATTATTACTTATTTCTAAAGCTGTTTTCAGTGCTTGCCCTGGAGATCCCCATATACACAGACAACTGATCTACAGCTCCTTTAAATAAGACGGCTCTACCTGATCTGTAGTGCAGGTGCCTACAAACAGTACGTGTGGGTCCTCTCTCCTGTCGCGCATTTCCTTCATCCGCATGTTATGATCATCTCATGCACTGTTGCTAAATTACTTTCCACAGTTGTGGGTCAGATCACATAAGAAGAAAAATGAATTTTCATCTTTATTGTTTCCTCCTCTCATGCTCTCCTTTCTGTAGATCCACGTTTCTGAACTGCATCATTTTCATTTCCTCTGAAGAACTTCCTTAAACATTTTACGCAAGGCAGGTCTTGTAGTGACTAATTCTCTGTTTTTGTTTGAGACTCTATTTCACCCTTACTTTTGAAGGATAATTTCACTGGATACATAATTGTAGATTGATTTAACACTAAATATTTCACTTGACTCTCTTCTTGCATGTGTAGTCGCTGATGAGAATCTGATGTCATTTTTATCCTTGTTCCTCTATGGGTAAGCTGTTTTTTCCCCCCCTCTGGCTTCTTTCAGGATTTTTTCTTTGGTTTTCTCCAGTTTGAGTAAAATTCGCCTTGATGTAGCTTTTTTGGTATTTATCTTTTTTGGAGTTTTTTGAGCTTCCTGGGTCTATGTTTTGGCATCTGTCATTCATTTTGGAAAATTCTCAGCCATTATTATTTCATATATTTCTTCCATTCCTTTCTTCTACTTCTTATGTCCCCGTTACTTCTATGTGACACATTGTGTAATGGCGCCCACAGTTCCTGAATACTCCATTCCATGTTGTTTTTATCCTTCTCTTTGCATTTGAGTTTGGGACTCTGCCATGTCTAATCTACTGATGAGCATTCTTCATTTGTATTACAGTATTTTTAGTCTCTAGCATTTCGTTTCTTTCCTAGAGTTTCCACCTCTCTGCTTACATTACCCATGTGTTCTTCAGTGTTGTTTTTTTCCATTAGAGCCCTTAACATAGTAATCATGGTTATGTTAAATTCCCTATCTGATAATTTTAACATCTGTGTCATAGCTGAGCTGGGTCCGATGCTTGTGTGTCTCTTCAGACTGTTTTTTGTTGCTTTTTAGCTTGCATACCTTACCATCTTTTTTTTTTTTTTCCTGAACGATGGATATAGATAGATCAGAGTGGAGGTAATGACGCATTTAGTATGAGGTTTTATGTTGATCTGACCAGGAGCTGGACTGTTTCATGTTGGCCATAGAGGTGTTTAACAGAAACTGAAACCTGTTTCCCTGTTTTTATTGGTTTCCCTTGTTGTTTTGGGTTTCCCGGAGAACTCCTTAAATGGCTGTGCTCTGCAGTTCTGGCAGTTGTAATCCAGTTACTATCCTGGAGCCCTACAGGGTGGTTAGGTGTTGGGGATGTGGGGCGGTGGGTCTTAATCCTTTTATGATGACATCTGTGTTATCATGACCTTCAGGAGCGTTTCTGAACCTCCTCCCCCCCCCCCCCTTACAGGAGACAGGAAGGGAGAGGGGGCTGCAATGATCTTTCTGCCCTTTCCCTCAGGTCAGATAAAGCTCTCTTACAGCGGTTTCCCTCAGAGGGCAAAAACAGGGGGCTCTTTCTCTGATCTTCACGGTGAGAACGTGGTATGGCTTCTGCAGGTAAACTGCAAGGAAGCGTGGGGAGACAACCCCCATAGTTTTTAATTTTCAAGCTCTTCCTCTCTCTCCAGCAATTCATCAGAATTACGGTGAGTGTTCCAGCAGTTCCCGGCTCCCGATGCTTCTGTCCCCAGTAAGCTGATCATGGCTGTGCTTCTGTCTGCCTGTTTCTCTAGATTTTGATGTGGCCATTTGCCTTATGACCTCAATTATCTGATGGATCCAAGAAAAGTTACTGATTTTCAGTTCAGCTTCTTCTTGTTGAGGATGGGAATGGCAGCATCCAAGCTGTTTACTTGTAAGAGCTGAAGCTGGAAGTCCACCTTCATTTTCCAATATTTTTTTCCTTAGCACTGTTTCAGCCCTCCTCCCTCACTCATGCCTCTTATCCTGTTCATTTACGTACATGATTTACATGTACATATATATACATGTAAAAAACTGTATTCTGGCTAAAAATTTAGTAAGTTTAAAGACAGAGGTTGGAAACATATGTGTAATATACCCTCTGAGTACAGCTAACCTCTTTGGGTTCTTGCCTGCAGGTGGTCTAGCTTAGGGTACCTATTCTAGTATTCTGTCAGACTAGAAATCTGATTATATCTAATGGTATGTATTTTATTCCTTCTTGGTTCTATGCTTTTTTTTTTTTTTTTTAAGGAACCAGTGATACTAGTTCAGTTTACTTTTTCGTATCCTCTGCAATGATAAAAGTACATGTAGTATAAAACGTAAGTCACCTTTTTTTTACAAATAAGATTGGTTAGCTCACATCCTTAACAAGTGTGCTGTGTTAGGTAGCCTTAAGGTCTCTAGCAATGATCTTTTCCTTGAGGTTTTCTGAGAACAAAGGTAGTATGAAAGCATTGATACGTGTGCCTTGGAAAAGCTGAAACAGTCCCATGCAACATCCATCCCTTCAAGTTATTTGACAGCTTTGAAACCAGAGTTACTCATGGAAAGAAGACTTTTTGAAACATTGCAAATTTATTTGTATATGAAAGAAGTATTCAGTCATCAACTTTGTATTTTATAAACACTAACCTGGTATGTAATTTTTGTTGGAATAGCCTGTAAGTGTATAACACCAACTGTTCACAGACCTTTTATGGGTTGTTGAAAACGCCACCTTTTACTAACAAGAGACTTTGTATTTTTCAAAAGCTTTCTAGGTTCACTAAGTAATGCCTTTGCTGGCCACAACTAGCCTCACTCAAGTTTATACACCAGTCCCTTTAGATTGTTCCGTAAGTGCTTGCTGCTCTTTTCTAGATGGAATACCTCCGTTCCCCAGGGCGGCAGCAGCACTGCACTGGCCAGTCCTCTAACAGCCAGCAGGTACGCCTTCCGTACGCCCTGTTTTTCTCCCATAATTTCTTAGACATAGTCCTCGTGTCACTAATTTTCGACCTAGTGGTGGTACCGAAGGTCACAGGGAGGAGGAGGTCTGTACACACTCCAGATGAACAGAGGCTCCTGCAGAGCTCACATACCTCTCTCTTTCCCCGTGGCACCTAGCTGTCTTACTAATCTTGGTATCATTGGCTGTGCCTTTGTAAAATTCGGCATTTATGAAAACCCTAAGTTGTCTAACTAGCAGGGAATATACAAACACACCTCTAAAGTTTCTACACGTTTACATTTCATACTTCTGACATACTTAGAAGTGAATTTTAGAAGCCAAGAGGTGTTCTACCAACCTGAAGAGAGAAGCAATAAGGTTTTCATACAGAGATACTCTTCATAAGAGACCTGAAGCCTCTGTAACTCAGAGGAAACATACAGCATGTGTCTACATTGGTCATACATGCAGGGGAGGGTCATTCTGTTCCTGTGAAAGACAAACACCAGCGTTTGAGTTAGTTACCCCCCAAAGTACACTTGTTTGTTTTATCTTACACAACTATGAACTTACAAAGGAAACTCTAACTATTGCTATTAATGCTAATTCCCTATAGGTGAGAACTGTGAGAAAGGAAACTTGTTCCTGGGTCCACAGGACCTAAAGAGAGTACTGAATAATCTAAGTTCACACTGGAGAAATTAGTTTTCTGTTGTGCATGCCATAGATTGTTTTATGTACTTAATTTCCGCAGGAATCCATTCTAAACACTTCTTACCAGTTGCTCATTTAAACCAGGGTTTGATGGCAGCATTTGAGTCTGGTCGTTATCTGGTAGAGTGTAAGTCATACCGGCCAGGAAGTTTGTCTGGCTCGATCCTTGCAACTCGGACCAGGCTTACTAGGAATGTGATAAGTACACACTGTTTCCCCTAATGCATTCTCCATCATGTTATCCTCTGTTTGAAAGCCTCCACTGGCTGCTTTTTGCTCCTGGAATACAATTTCAACTCCATTTCCTGGCCTACAAGCTTCCGCTTGATCCACTTCTCTCAAGCTCGTAAGGGAGTTCCACCTTTTGCTCTCGTTTCTTCTGCCAGCCCCTACTTTTCACACGACTCGTTCTTCTGTACTGTTTGGTGCTCGGCTCCCTACAGAGGTCTTCTGTGGTCCCCAAATCTAAAGTAGACTGCACCCCTTCCTCCCCCCAGTCACACTATTGTATCATGGCTCTCCAAAATAATTTCGTTTATTTATTGGAATGTTAGCAGGGGCCTCATCTATTGTGCTCACAATTACAGCGCAAGCTCCTAAAATAGTGTCTGGCACTTGGTAGGGACTCTTCTATCACCGAGAGGTATCACCAATAGAGAAAGAACACCAACTTTAACTCAGGATTCAGTTCAGCCAGGATTTCTGGACTAGGGTTTTATGCAGCTAGCTTGCCTGATAGCAGAAAGGTGAAATTTCTGCTTTAGGTAGTTTGTATTTATCCTGCCAGATAAGTGGCCTTGGACTGACCTCGTAGCAGTATAAAGATGTGTTCTGAATCTAGAATTAACCCAGGACTTGCAGCTTCTTTCACAGTCTTTAAAAATATCTGGAGCTAGTATCATCCAGTCTCTATTAAAACACTTAAAATAATGTGAGCTTACCACATGGTAAGGCAGGCCCATCCATTTAACACTGCTCCAACAGATGCTTTTCTGGAACTTTTACACATTGTTTTGGGGCCTAGCTCACCCAAAAGATAAAAGAGTATCTCTGTAGGCTCTCCTCCTCACTCCCAACTGTGCCTTTCTCTTTCCTCCAAACATCCCGTTTGTTGAATGATATAAATTTCCATACTCTTTGCCATTCTGGACATAATTAAAGTTGTCACTCTTAATTTTAATACAGCATCCAGTTCTAAACACAAACTACTCAGAATGGATCGAGTCATACAGGGTGCAATGGGACTACTCTAATAACGGGATTTAAGGTTTCATCGATTCTTCTGACCTCTGGTCAAAAGCACCCCAGCTCTCACAATTAAATCTTCATTTCTTACTCTGCTCTGACCATGGATATGTGTGTGAGAGGGTGAGAACTCCGTGGCTTCATTCTCCTAAAGGAGATAAGTTAGTAGGCACAGAAAATTGTAATATAAGGTAGAAAAGTGGTAAGAGCTAGGGATATACAGCAGAGAGGTCTTAGAAGGTGCTGAGTTGAGATGCCTGAGGAACAGAGCCTCTGAGTGGGAGTGCTGTGAGAGAGACAAAGAGGCCAGGTTCTGGGAAGCCAGAAACCATGCTGAGTATGTGCCCGGTGGGCAGGGTGGAGACTGCGAGGACATCTGCGTGTTGGGGAGGTATGTAATGGGATCAAACTGTATTTTTGTAAGAAAAAAATTGTCAACATGATGGAGGACACACAGGAGGCAGAAAACTAGTCAGGAAACGACTGCAATGAGGTCCGGGGAAGGGATGCCTCAAATACTTCACAGATGGAAGCAGAGGCCTAGTGGAAATAAGAATAGCTCATGTATAAAATCTGAAAATCTGATTGGTTCTCTCCCATTTAAAAACAACTGTCCAAGTCCTAACATGGAGTAGGCCTTGCCATGACCTAAGAATCCTTTGGCCTCCCCGTCAGCCAAGATGTCCTCATCTGTAGTTGTCCCTATTCAAAGTGAGATCAACTGACCCCAGAGTTGACCCCAACTATATTAAAAAGTACCCTCCATGGTGACTCGGTAGGTTAAGTGTCTAACTCTTGATATCGGCTCAGATCATGATCTCTGATGATGTCAGGTCCTGGGATGGAGTCCCTCGTTAGGCTCTGGGCTAGGCGGGGAGTCTGCTTGAGAAGCTCTCTCTCCCTCTTCCTCTGACCCTCCTCCTGCTTACTCACTCTCTAAAATGGATAAATCTTAAAAAATGTACCTTTCAATATGTCCTGGGACAGTAATAATAATGCCCCATGTCCATTTGGCCTGCCATTAAGCATTGATAAACAACTCTATTTCAAGAAACCTGACAGAATTGATTCAGTCCTGAATGATCACAATAGCAATCCATCAGGAAGACATCAGCTGGTTAAAAATACCCTATGAACACAGGGAAAATGACTCACAAATAACTTACTCGTTAATAATCAGATCAGGAGCGAAACATAGCATGCTTCCACTTGATTGTCTATATGATCTCCAGCCCAGGGCAAATGCCATGAGGAACATCCATGAATATTGCAGTAGGGTCATTTGGTCGTCCAGGTGTAAGTTCCTGAAGCCTGAATTAAGAGAAGTAAAGGTGTGAGGAAACACTCTAGTCGCCAAAGAGAAGGCTATCTCTCTGGGAACTGCCACAGACCAGACAGGACTTTAGCCTTGTTTGGGGGGACCCCTGACAGAGAAAGTGAAGCACCGAGGGGGCATAGTTCTCCTCTGTCATCTGACACGTTCAGATCAAAGCCCACAAGTGCTTTTTAATAGCATCCAATGTAATAAAACTTATTGTCACTTTCTCCCTGTTTAAGCAAATTGAGTCCTGACTTGGTACATTACTCAATGAATTTAGTTTTAAAAATGTCCCCTGATAGTTACACCTCTTTCCTTCTTGACAAGAGTAGGAATACAAGAGTAGGAATGACAGGAGGTCAGGGTACTTCATTCCTGCTCTGTCTCTTCTCTATCGGAGTGAACATAAGCTTGTCAAATCTGCAGCCGTAAAGTCTGGCTGACACCGACGTGGACCTCTGCTGTTCCACACCAAGTTCCAACAGGGGGACTTCAATTTCATATGATCTTAAAAATGAGATGAGCTCAGATTTCCATTCCATTTATCCAGTTAAGAGTTTAGTACACCCTGACAAAGTGTCACCATACCTGATTTTTACCAATTTTACCGAGTCTTAAAAGTGATACACTGAAGGAAAACAAATGGAGTTCTGAGAAGTATTCTACATGTTCTTGCCCTAGATTTGGGTGAAAAAGGAATTCTGAGTAGGTGCTGTGACTCTAGTTCTGACAGGACCTTGTCTGACCTCAAATCACTCTGCTCTGAGCAACAATCTGAAAAGCAGGGAGCAGTGTACGAGTTTTATTATAAACTCTCCACTCCCATGCTTTCTGGCCTCTGCCCTGGTCAGGCCCCAGAACTGAGGAGGAGAAAACAGGGCAGGTCGTGGGACTTGGATGGACAGAGCCAGAGTGCCCCTGCTGAAGACTATAGAGCTCTGTACCTTCGCCAAGTCCCCTTCCGAGGCTTACCTGGTATCGCCTTGGCCCATTTCACTGCTGCAATCACTTGCCGCCCACCTAACATGTTCAGTGTGGTCATGATCCGCCAAGTCGAATCTGGGACAGAGCTGTCATACCCTGCGTATAACACCTCAGGCTCAATGACCTCCAGCAGGGACACCAGCGTAGGGGTGAGCTGTGGTAATGTTGCAGGAACTATTGTTTTGTTAGCAGGATTTTCAGACGTTTCTTGGGACGTTCCTGGAGTGGCCTGCTGAATTCCTTTTATCTTTTTCTTTGTTTTTCGAGCTGTGGGTGTTAAAAAAATATATATATACACACAAGAAATGAGTTCTAATGGGAAGGTCTGGGTGGCAGAGTTTCTTCAGGGAAGTATTTTAATTTCTGAAACTATCAATTATAAAGTGACATGGAAGAAGAGAAGGCAAAGAGTCAAGAGGAACCCATTTGTATATGAAGCCAGGTAATTCTTCATTCGTTATCCTTTATATAAAGTTAAGTGTCTTTCAATATTGTGCTAAAGCAATCTAAAGAAAGCACTTCTAGAGATTCTTGCATGAATTAATTTCTGTCTCACTTTCCCTCCAGAGTTGAAATTTTCATTGGTTCAATAAGGCAGTACTTTCACTAGCATTTGAAAGAAAGAATCCAAGCTTGTAATAGCAGACTAGATACTGGGGCTTAGGGTTAACCTAAAATTATGGTATTAAGGAAGAGAGCTATATTACTGGTAACTTCGCACAGGGTCCCCTTCGTCTCAAGAAAGTATTATGATGACACTGCAGGTCCCATGCTAGAAGCAGTAACTCCCAACAGCAGAAATGTCCAGTTTTTATGTCTACATGAGAGCTGTTGAGTCTAGAAACATCTGGGGAGATGAAGAGAAAACTTTACATTTCTTCATATATTAGTGGGAAATTTCCCTTTTGTAAGAGATTTATATTGATTCCATAAACCTAAAGCATCCTTTTTCATATGTACAAAGTAAAGCTATATCAAATTATAATACAGATTCATATTCTTGAAGTTACAAATGAGAGTGTTTCTTTTTAACTCCATATGCTGCTGAAGGCAACACAGAGTACTCTTAAAGAGAAAGTACTCAGAGATCCAAGGAAGGGCAATGAACGGAATTCATATGAAAGAAGAAATGTATCCACCTCACTAATCAGGGATACAACCCGTTTTGCTAAGACAAAAGTAAATACTCATCACCTTTAAAATTAATAATTGTTAGATTCTTTGTCCTTAAAGCGACAGAATGGTCCCATTATTGTGTACTGTGTTGAGTATGATAGGGAGAAATTGAAGAATTCTCACGTAACATTTCAAAACACAGAAAAAGGATCACGACAGAGCTGTTTTTATTTTACCATGCTCTACTGAAAACATAGTATGGTGTGGTAGTAATGACCATAAATCTGAAGCCAGCATGTCAGAATTTAAACCCTGGCTCTGCCATGCAGTTGGTGGAGTCTCCCAGTTATTTCCTGAGCCTTAGTTTCCCTCTCTGTACAGTGAGGGTAATACTGGTACCTCGCTCAAAGGGCGGCTGTGGATTAAATCAATTAAAATATGTAAAAGGCTTAGGACAGTTGGTGGCTCCCATTAAGTGCTACAGAGCTATCATTACCTCCACTGGTGGTAGAACAGGGCTTTAGAGTATTTTGAATGTAGACAGTACAGCTGGAGAGAGGAGTGATCAACTTTAAAAAAAGAAAGTGCTACTACACCTAACATAAGGCAACACTTTAAACACCAAAGGGACATTTCAAAATCGTGGCAAGTACTTCATCCCCAATCAGTGCCCTGAGACAGTACTCTAAAGACCCCCATTCTCCACACCTTAACGCCTACACTCCACATGAGAACAGGGTGAAGGACAGTGACAGGCTGGCGGATTTTCAAAAATCTTCTGTATTTAGTATAGATTTAATTTTACGATTTATCTATAGCCCTGAGAGAACTAATGCTTTTGAGTAAAGCTCAAAAATACTGACTAGAGCCAGAATGAGTACTAGTATGTTTTCATATAACCTAAGAAGTTGTTAACTGAATTATCTCAGCAGCCACTATTTTTAAGCACTTGACTAAGATTTTTACTTGATACCAAGTTCCTGACTCCTAGGAGCATAGAGACCGTCAGCATCTGATTTCTACAGAAGTGTTCTTGAGTCTGATAGTTTCCCTCCTTTTGTAATAGAAAGAAAGAAATCTTATTTAGTTTAAAATTTAGCTTAAAAATATTAGGTATGAAATCTGATGTCAAAAACCTCCCTGCCTTTAAGTTCCATGTGATTCTTTATGCCAAAAATAAAGCTGTAATTTGGAATGATTACAATACACCCTAAAATGAAGTTAAAACATTGAGGATTTATCTGTACTCAACTGCCAGCATCGAGAAAGGCCACCTTAAAATAAATCTGGAGAATTACTTGGTATGGGGGGGCAACAGCATCAAAATGTACCATTTCTGATACTAAGGTACATTTATGGAGAGAATCAGGCTCTGAGAAGAGCTGACTTGTTCTGCAACGTTATTTTGGGGCAGTCCTGAAAGGGAATGTTTCTAAAGATTATGGTAAAAAAAAAAAAAAATACTAACAAAATGAAACACTTGACCCCTCTCTCTTGTTCTTCAATACAGTTGATCCTTGAAAAACGTGGGAGTTAGGGGCGCCAAACCCCATGCAGTCAAAAATCTCCATATAACTGATTCTCCAAAAAGGTCACTGGTGGCCTACTGTTGACCAGAAGCCTTATCAAGAATACACCAGTTGATTTACACATATTTTGTACATTCTGTTTGTTATATACTGCATTCCTACAATAAAGGAACCAGAGAAAAGATTTCATTAGGAAAATCCTAAGGAAGAGAAAATACATTTAAAAAATCCATTTTAAGTGGACCCACACAATTCAAACCTGCATTTGTTCAAGGGTCCACTCTATTATGCTCTGCCAAACAATTCTGGCACAGACACATACCTACTCCAACTAAAGGTTTTATATATACAGGAATAATTAAAGACAAAAATGAGGCTTTCACATTAAAACCACACAAGAAAACCTCTATGTATTTAGATTTTTAAAAAGCCTTTCAGTTTTTTATAATTAAAATTATGTTACGTATCGTACATGCTACCTAGTAACTGATACATTCTTAAGTAACCAGAACTATGGCGAAGTGGACAGAGGTTAATCTGGCCCTGTTCCAAAGTGTTCTTAATAATGTAAGGATCTCAAATAACCTCTGTGAGTAGAAAATAGGATAGAGACTAGCACGAAGTAGCTCTTAACAAATGCTGGTTTCCCCACTATTCTCATATCTTACGTTGACATCTTATAAAACCATACAATGTATCTTTTTTTTTTAAATAGTGTTTTGAGAAACTGCAGCTCCGTCTCAACTGTATGCTTACATTTAAAGTAAATCTGATTGGAAAGGGCAGTGATGGTATTGTGGTAACAGAAACTGCGATGTCTCCAGCTGCCCTGGTTGTCTTCTAGTGAGGGAGGGCACTGTAGTTATTAGAGAGTTGTAAGAGAGAGGAGGAATTTTATATAAAGAAAATAATATATATTTAAGTGGTCAGACAGCAGCAAATAGAAACTCGGTAAAATCAGGGCAGAAATAAAGAGAACAAAACAACTATCCCTGTGGCCCTTGAAAATGAATTACATGAATGTGCCATTCATCTCTGTGGCTTCTGTAACACCTACAAGAAGATGGGCTGCTATCACTTTCTTTAAATCAGTGCTTAATGTGTTGGCCCTCTGCAGTCAAGTTTAAGCAACCTAGTCACACTTAGAAAACATTGGGTTCAGTGACTGGTGCGTCATGACTGTCTTCAACACGGCGCACTTCATCTGTCTGTGAAATTGGGGAATGAGACTCTTCACAGTCAGACCCAGCAATCTATTTAATAGTTGAAAACAGGTGCACACATAGTGCGTGCTAGACAGCACCAGCACCCGTCTCCGTTCTGCTGGAAGAACCACACGCTTGCTCTTCTCCCTCCCACATCACGATGTGTTCTCTGGATTACCTCTAGGGTCGTTCCGCTGGTCTCCCTAGACAAGAGGAGTCTTTCTCAAGTACAAATCTGATGACGTCTCTGCCTGCCCGCCCGCCCTCCTTTCTTCCAAACTTCTCCTTAGCTTTTCTAGATTTCAGATTCAATGTTGCTTCTGCCCAGGGAGCTTTCCAGGACAGAATGAGGCGCCCCTCCTTGTGCTCCTGGGGCTCTGGCCCCTTCTGCAGCACGCCATGCCGTTCTGGGACAGACTCTGCAACCTCGGTAGACCGTACACTCCTTCACTGCAGACAGTCAGACTCAGTGCCTGTCTCTGGCCTGCCTCCTTGGTGGCTTCTGGAGAAGGAAAGTGCTACTATCCCAAGTACGAAGCGTGTGGGTTCCTCCAAAGCCACCGCTACCTTCATGGACCTCGCGTCCTCAACTACAGCAGAATTCCAAACTTCTTTCATAGCGAAGTTTTTTAAATGATGAGATCAGTGTTAATTATACAACTTGTTATAGAAACAGGGATATGAAACTCAAAATTCAGGTTTCTTCTTTACTTGGAAAGCAAAACCAAACCCATCCCAGTACCTCCTTGAGGAGTTACTTCCCCGGGCAGATTTATCGTCCATCTGCATCTCTCCAGCTATAGAGCCAAGTAAAAGGTGAATGAGAGGAAAATGGACAGGTAAATACATCTGACAGGGAAGCATTTTCAACTCTAGGGAAGAGTTTGGAGGCTGCAGAAAGGGAGGAGAAAAAGTTACGAGTAATGTTGCTTCAAAGTCACTGTTACCTAGTTGACTTTCTTGGTATATAGTCTGGCTATAATGAAGGCTGTATGTACCGTAAGAGCTGGTGAAAAAACTTAAGCAGAATATGAAATATTCATTAAAAAACTCCTAGTTTATAAGGCAGTCATATAAAATTATGTTAGGCACATATATTGTAATGACTAAATTAATACTTTTGCTTACTTTTATTTTAAAAAGGAAAATAATGCATTTTTATATGCATGCAGAGACCATTTCTTTCAGGCATTTACATTACCTTCCAGGTTCATTCCAGCTTGAAGACATTTTCGATAGCGGCATGCCGGACAGTTTTTCCTTCGAATCTTATCAATGATACAATCATTTCTTCCAGCACAAAGATAATTGTGCTGTCCTAGATGGAAAACAAAGGCACTGTCAAAATTTCCTAAGTTTTAAAGGATATTTTTATGGGGAGACTTGCTGTGTTTCTCTTGTGGCTTGAACACAGCCTAGGACCACAGGCACCGATTAAGAAAGGTACAGCGCACTTGCTAACATGGCCTTTACAGAGCTGTGAGCTCAGCTTAAAAAAGTCTCTTACTCTGTTCAACAAATAACTGTAGTTCATGAAAGTCACTGCAGTATATACATAGAGAAAAGGGCACCAATGCTCAGTGTAGCATCTGGTACATTTTCCCAAACTGAACACCTCCCTGACGGAGAAGCAGAACACGTGGCCACCCACCGTCCTCTTGCCTCTTCCCAGGCACCGCCCTCCAAGGCCACCTCGTTTGAGATACAAGCAGAAACTTTTTCAAGCACAGTTTAAAAGCTACGGAGGATGTCTGTAAGCACTCCTTCATTATGACTTCTCACTTAATGCTAAGGAGGGTTAAACAGAGAGGAAACTGCTTCCCAAATACTCTGAGTCCCACATGGGAAATGACTCTCATTCAGCATTAGGCCACCACCTGCAGAATCCAGGGTGCTTCCCCTTCAGCTCTAAGTGACCGGTGGCACACACTTCATCTTGAATGGGAAGGCTGCCAGCAACTAGTTAGGGAAAGCACACCGCTGGCCAACTAACTAGTACGTGGATCTGCTGCGAATATTTGAATTGACCACTGACCCCAAATATTTACAATTGTTGCTGTCTGAAATCTTCTGGCACCTAGGATTTAAGACTGTGCTAAGAGGCAGAAGTGCAGTTTTCACCTGGCAAAAAAATTTAACAGGAGAAGACCAAAAGTCTCTGTACCCTTACCCACTGCAAAATGCACATTCTTGTACTTTTCTTTTAATCTGGTTATTGAATGTTGAAGGAAATTGAGGATCTGGCCTGCCAGAAACTCTGAAAGGACCCTCCCGCACAAGACCCATGCAGCTACACGAGCCCTGGGCAACTCAGAGTCCGTGAACCTCACACTAGAGGGGATGGTATTCACAGGACTACAGAACATTTCTCTTCTCAAAAGAAACCACCTTGAGAGAAAAGAGAAAAATCATTATCAAGTCACTAGGTTAAATATACCTCGTTCTGATTTCTGCGTAAGGATCCTTCCTTCGTGAGACAGTCTAAGACTCGGATGGAAACATACTCTGTTCACGTCCCTAGGATAAATCACCATGCTATTAAGCATGTATTTTGGGGACATGGTTAACTGTATCAGGTTCCAGTCTGTGTGAGGAGTAGGCCACCGAGGTGACTAGTGGCCTACAGTTGAGCTTTGTTCCAGAGCTGCCCTCCAAGGCCAAATGTCTGTACCAGCTGTTTCCATTCCTTTCTGTGTCATGCATGTTTCGTGGCTTCTCTGGGTGACAGGAAAGGAAGCACTAATCCAGCCATCCTAACCTCTTTAAAGCAAAAGTAGGAACAATGGATGCGTCCATAGTTGGAGCAGTTAAAATATAAAGCAGTTCTACCCTGTAAGCATCCCCGAACATCACTGTCCTCCAGAATCTGAGCTACTGGATCAGGGGGACACTGATGAATAATTTAAATAAGTTAAAATTAGTCCTTTCTGGCTATTCCTGTGAAGCTGGGCAAGTGTGTTTGTGTCTTATCTATAAAAGGAGGAGTTTCAACTAGTGGGCAGTATTTTACAAGACATGCATCACTCATAGTCACTCCTGGTCAATCCTTCTGATAAGACAGTGAATCATCTTAGTTTGGAGTTGCTGTGTCTTCTACCACTTTGTAAATTCCTCTTCTACCTAATAGGAGATGTGAGGAGAAAAGACTTCAAGACAGCTGGAATTTTTTTTAACATTGTTTTGTTTGTATTGTATTTATTTTTATGGTTACTACCTATTTTTGGCAAGTGATTCTGGTTTCCATTTATGGTTGGTCTGGTAGCCAGCCTCCAAGATGGCCCCCAATGGTCTCTGCCTCTTTGTATTCACACTCCTGTGTAGTCCCTTCCCACACTATAACAGAATTGGTCTGTGTGACCAATAAAATATGGCAGGAGTCACAGTATGTCACATCTGAGATTAAGTCATAAGGACATGACTGCTTCCACAGTCCGCTCTCTCCTGTGGATCACTTGTTCTGGGGGAGGCCAGCCGCTAGAGCAGCCCTAGCTTGAGTCCCACACAGCGAGGAACTGAGGCTTCCTGCCAAGCAGTATGACAGGTTTGGAAGTAGATCCTCCGGCCTCAGGCCGGATGACTGCATCCCCAGCCTACAGTCTGAATATGATTCGTGAGGGACCCAGGACTGCCCTGCTACCCACCTCCTTCCAAATTCTGGACTCAGAAACTGCAGGACACAATCAGTGCCTGCTCTTTTAAGCCACTAATTTTTGGCCTCATTTATTACACAGCAGTAGATAACTAACACAGTAGGGACAGTAAAGTAGTTGTTTTTAAGCTTAAAAAAAAACAGTGGGCCAAGAAAAAGGGCATGTTCTGGGGTTTGTGCACTTGGTTTGCCCTATTTGAAACATCCACGTCTTAAATGTGAACTCTGTGAGCTTGAGCGTCTTTCTTTACCTGCTTTCAAAAACTGTGTGGTGTGGTAGAACATGCACTCATGAGCACCAGAAAGGCCCTGATATGAACTGCACCTCTGTTTCCCAGCTGTGTGATCTCAGTAATGTTTATTACATTTTCTGAGCCCCTATTTCCCCATCTGCAAAGCTGGAACATTCGCACCTAGCTTGCTGGGCTTCTGCAAGGGTTGAAGGCAGTTATGTAGAAGGCTCTTACAAACGGCACCTACACATTGTGAGCGCTCAGCGAATGCTTGCTGCTAAATAACTCCCTTGGGACTGCTTTCATCTCTGTATCTAACTCGCAGACGAGAAAACTTTGGTCATCTACTCTGAGGGTCAGTGGGATCCCAGCACTGCCACTTCCACACTCAGCCTCAGTTTCCTGGATGATCAAATGGGATCACTACAGCCTCTAAGAGCTCGCAGAGCCCTTAATTCAGCGGTGTGACAAACCTAAAACGTAGTACTGGATTCATGGTACACTGAGGGTACTACTGGATGCTTATCGCCATTAGGACCCACCAACAAAGCCTACACATACTTCTGTGCAAAGGGGACGTAAGTCAAAGGGACTCCATGGTGGGGGGGGAGGGCATCACTGAACTAGCATACATGGAAAGAAGTGAAGCTACCCAAAGTTTTCTTCTGTATGCAGAAAAGCGACTCCCAGAATACTGAGTTAAAAACCTCAAAATAGCCATTCAACCCAGATCAAGGATTTAGATAATAAATAAAACTTGTGCAAATTTCTTAAAAACAGTAGAATGTTTGGGTATTTATATGATGCCAATCTGAGGGCGGGGGTAACTACTATTTCCAGCAGGTGCTGAAAATGGAGTGCCAAGTGTAATGCAGACCTTACGAACTGCATCTCTGTAATTATCTAAGAAAGTGCTCCAAAATATGTATCTGGGCTTTAAAACATTTCCATCATGTCTAGAAAGGAAAAGTAAAACTGCTATGAGTTAGGTTATCAAAAGATTACAGAATTTTAGAGCTGGAAAGGTCCGTTGAGAAAATGAAAATCCAAATAGGATTTACTTAACAGTCCACAGTTAAACCTTTTCCTACTAATTATGTAATCGAGCCATCAGACTTAAACACTACCTAAACATTTTGAAATGGTATGGCTAATAGTCTATGAAATTTGTACCTAAAAGCAAGTATAAGAATTTAATTCTAAAGCAGGGGTTAAGCCCAGAGGACATGGGGCCTGCAGTGGTATTTTACTGGGGAGGTATGTTTAGCATTTGTTTGTTTGTTTACACTTTTTAAAGTTAGGCACTGGATGCTTTTAGGTAAGCTTGCTCTCTCCAACATCACTGCATGCCTTCCTTGCCCCAAATGTCTTCTCTTTGCCAGAATGACACACACTTGGTCCCTGTAGGCATTTGAATTTATAGCCCTGTTTTAAAGGATTTTTCATTCTCCTCCATTTTAACTAAAATAGTTTTTGAACCATTCTTTCTTCTAAGGTTTCATGGTCTCATTCTGAATTTCACTTTCAGAAATCAATTTATTAATGTTACTGTAATATTACTACTGCTGTCACTTATTTATATCATGGAAATAACTCATGAGTTAGTGAAGTGCTGAAGTAGGTAAAGTGAGGACAAGAACAGGCTTCACTCTCTTGGGTCTGTGGTGGGTTCTGTCCCAGGAGGGCTGGGCGTTCCATGTGACCCCTCCATAGGACCCGGCAGCTGCTGACCTGGGCAAAGCCTGCATCCCTGTGCTCTGTGTGGGGTAACAGGAGTAATTTTATAGTTGGCTCATGTTACAAACTAATCCAAACAAAAGAAAATGACTCCTCTGACTCTTAAGGATATGCAAACAGTACTCTAGGCAAATAATAATAATGGATAATTACACTTCTTTAAAAATTAATATAATCAGAGCTTTAGGTAATGCATTCAGGCCACACTACCTTCAACCTGCTTTACAAGTTACTAAAGTACATGATTTTTTCCCAAGATGATTCACTGGTAACATGAAATAAATAATTTGAGTAATTTCCAAAAATAATGGAATGAATTTCTCTCTCTTGAAGGAGTTGATGTTATTGCCCTTGTCAGTAGGCTGAATCCATAACAAGGGTAAAGTTCATAATATAATATTCATATAGTGAAATCAGCTCCTCTGAAATACCTCTTTCTTGACCACCTCAGGCAGTTTATCACTTGCTTCTCAGTATTTTTTTTTTTAAGATTTTATTTATTTATTTGAGAGAGAGAATGAGAGACAGCACATGAGAGGGGGGAGGGTCAGAGGGAGAAGCAGACTCTCCGCCGAGCAGGGAGCCCGATGCGGGACTCGATCCAGGGACTCCAGGATCATGACCTGAGCTGAAGGCAGTCGCTTAACCAACTGAGCCACCCAGGCACCCCTGCTTCTCAGTATTTTAACCTCCGTACCTGGAAACTGTTACCTCATCCTTCACTTCAAGTAGACCGTGACCACCCAGAGGACAGGGACCAGCTCTTACGCTGAATTAAGATGCCTGGCTCAATAGGAAAAAAAAAAAAAAAAAAAATCCCATCCAGAGATTTCCCCTTCATAAGTTCTTACTGTCCCTCATTTCTGTCACACTGGAATAGTTGGTGGTTTCAGAACCAACTACCTGCTGGGAGTTAAAGCCCACAATTCTCATACAATGAACATGATGTTACCACCCGAACCTAACACCGCCATTCCACACGCCATTCCATACCCCTTTCTTACAGTTACCTTCTGTTCTCTGACCAAACTCCTGCCCCTGAATTTATACTTTTCTATTTTATTCTAGTTCTGCTTGTGTTGCTTTTTAAAATCTCTTTCCCACTGGAAGGCCTAAGAGGCCACCTCCCCACCCCACCAGCATCTTCCTGACGTCCAGCCTGAATGGGGTTTACATAATAACAGAAACTTCAAAATCTACCTTGGGAGACAAGAACCCAATAGAGGAAAAATAAAACTCTTCAAAATACACACTACCTTCCACCGCTCTTTTGAAGAATACTTTGCAGCTCCCGCAAGTCAAGACCCCGTAATGACAGCCCGAGGCTTCGTCAGAGCACACAAGGCAGAGTTTGGGAGGTGGTCCCGTTGCCGCAGAGGAGCTGGATGGAGGAGAGCTGACATCTGGTCTCATCCCAGGGCTAAAGAAGGAAGAGGGCAGGGTTAATGATGTAACTGTCATGAGTGTCAAAGAAGCATCAAAATCCACTTCTCTTACCTTCTCACTCCCCAGCGAGCATGTTTCACAATGAACTCTGGCTTCACGGACTAGTAGGCATTCCAACTGCCCACCTAAATATATTCAAAGAATGTTTGGATTCTTCTTTCAGACAAAATTAAGAGTGAAGTCATTTCTTTTTAAGTATTTCCTCAGAAGAATGGTGAAAACGAGATCCACTTAGAAACTGTAATTGTTAGTTGCTGAGGGCTTGTTTATATTCATCGTCCCCTTTATGAAGGTGTCCTGTGCGTACGGTGTCACTCACCGTTCCTAAGTGTGCAGCTGATGAGTCTGGCTTGCTGGATAGCCTGCATCTCCCACCGGGATCAAGACACAGTATGCATCCGTCACTTCGAAAAGATGCCTCCTAGCCCTTTAATTGCTTAGGACGTCAATTTAATTTTTTATTTTTAAGATCTTGTACAGGCATCTTTCTAAACTCATTCACGTCTCAGGACAGCTCTGCCTACGTCCTGCCCGGGAACTACAGCTTTTTACAGTACGTGAGCCTGGGCCGACATGTCATTCCCGGGGTCGTCTGGGCGGACCCTGCGGCTTAGGGGGGATGCAGAAGCCAGACTGTCTCTCAGCCCCACGGCTGGCTCACGGTGAGAGCGGAAAGAGCGCGGGGCTTCCGCAGGGGGACCCTTGTTCTACCCTCCCCACTCAGGAAGGGACGGCCTCAAGAAAAGGGAGGAAAGGGGGAATCTGCTGCTCCGCCCAGCTCCCGTTTTTCCTTTTGCGGACTTCTCACCCTGCTGAGTGCTGTTCTGGTGTTTGAAGATCCTCTATTCCTCATTTGTTTTGGAGATCTTCTACAAGCCCAAAAGCTCCTCTCAATTCTATCCGCAAATGAAGCTGCTGCCCCCCGCCGATCCTCGGTCTGTGGAAGAGGCTTCTGTCAAATGGACAGTGTCCCCGCCCCCCCCCCCCACCGGGGTTCCATGATGTTCTGTGCACACTCTCAGGAACTTCTGGAGACTTCTCTCTCAGAAGGTATCGATTCTCTGCTGGGTTTGGGAGAGTGGACGGAGCACATGCTGACAGCCTACAACGGGAGAGAGCCACCTGAAGTGACTCTGCTGTAGGTCTGGCGTGAGGTGCCCTGGATGGACGGAAGCTTGTGACTAATGCAGAGCTGCCGCTCTGGGCCGGAGTGTGACCGGGAAGTAGGAGGGCCTTTGAGTGAGTGAGCAGAGCGATGTGTCAGGGAAGCAAAAACTTCTTTGGCTTAAGTCCTGAAGACGCTCCTATTCCTGCTCAGCCCATCTCTGTCATCTGACAGCTATTTTTAGAGACCAACCAGTTGTTTATGGAAAATGAGTAGTAACATTTAAAGATTTGAAAGGTTGCTTCTGTAATTTTTCCTCAACCAATTATATGTGTTGACATACATTACAAACACATACGTGTATGTATTTTTTTTTTCAAATAGTACTTTGTAGTAGAGTCGTAGCTCAGTGACGCTGCAGGCTCCGTTCCAGACCACAGACAGCAGGGAGGGGGATATCGCAAGAAAGCATGTCAAATAACTTTCTTGGTTTCCTAGTGCATGTAAAAGTTAGATTTATATTATTTTGTAGTCTATTAAGGTGTGCAAGAGCTTTATGTCTACAAAAACAAGGTATAGGGACACCTGGCTGGCTCAGTCGGTTAAGCGACTGCCTTCGGCTCAGGTCATGATCCCAGGATCCTGGGATCGAGCCCCGCATCGGGCTCCCTGCTCAGTGGGGAGCCTGCTTCTCCTTGAGCCTGCTTCTCCTTCTGCCTGCTGCTCGCCCTGCTTGTGTGCAGTCTCTCTAACAAATAAATAAAATCTTTAAAAAAAAAACCCCCAAAACAAAGTATATACCTTAATTTAAAAATACTTCATTGCTAAAAAATGCTAACCATCATCTGAGTTTTCAGCGAGTCACCATCACAGATCACTATAACAACTATAGTAAAGAAAAAATCTGAAATAGAGAATTACCATAATGTGACAGATACAAATGAACAAATGCTGTGGGAAAAATGGCATGGAAAGGCTTGCTTGACTTCGCTTTTTTTACAAACTGAAGCTCTGTGCCAACCCTAAGTGCATAAAGCAGAGTGCCCTGCACCGAGGTGTGCCTGTCCTCTAGCTGTAAAAGGCTTCATGAGTACAACCTCGTCGAGCCTCTCAGCAGCCCTATGGAAGGGGGGGGCGTCACCCCGAGATGAGGCCGCACGAGAGGAGGAGGGTGATCAGGGGGCCTGTTTGTAGTCAAACCGACATGCTTCAGGTCCCTGCCCTACCACTGAAAGGCCTGTGTGACCCTGGGCTGGTGGCTACTGCGTTGAGCCTCAGTTTCCACAAGCGGACCAGGAAGGAGGACATCACCTATGTGTGCGTGCGCACACCGGGAAAACAGGAGAATACACACATCTAGCACATTGTTCCTGCATCGAGCAAGCACTCCGTAGATGTTCCTTCTTTGCGGTTTCAGGAAAACTGGAGATTTTAGGAAAAAGCATTATGTAAGTATTATATAAGTGGAAAGTAGGATAGAGCCTAAAACCCAGGACAGTATTCCCAGATTCTATCATAAATTAGAGCATACGCTGAACCACGAGCGACCGGCGGCAACAGGGAAAGGGCAAATGACATGAGCAAATGCACCAATGCAAGCGTAGCTAGGGATCTGTAACTCCAGTCCGCCTCCTGGCCTCCCCTCAGTCCTTCCACGCTACCTCACGTCGGCACAGAGTGTGTGTATAACTGCCAAGAGTACCACAGACAGCAGTGGAAGCAGTCCGTTTTTGTCACACACAAATGAAGACACATGGCCCATGATGAACACCACTGGGAAACGCGGATGAGGACAACACGGTATGCAGCTCCAAGGGTGACCCTATGATACCACTGAAGGACTCCAGTCCAACCGAAGGGCCAGCACGACAAGCAAACCACATGGAATCGCCATCTTTTAAGAGGGACACAAGGCAAATACAGGACAGGAAGAAAGAGCGAGCACATAAGACTCCGAGTGTGTCTCACACCCCTTTGAACAGAAAAGCTACCATGTCCTGGGTCTTTGATCAGCATGTGCCAACAGCTGTGCCAAATGTTCTGAAGATGCTAAGAGCTTCACTTATGAACTGACTTTATCCACAGTGCTTTCTTTTAAGTGAAAACTCCTAGGAACAAAATGCCTTGTTCCAAATGCATACTTGAACGCTGTTGCCCATTTACAGTGGAGAGTGCGCTCAACACCAGCTTGTTCCTGAGGCCATGGGGTTTACATTAGAGTTGGGAGAGGAAAAACAACAACAACAAAACACGCAAAGCTGGGTTCTTCTCTTCAGTTCTCCTGCAAGAGAAACAAGTGATGAGAGGAGGCTCATGGATGGACTGTGAGAACTAATCACAACTTGAGGATCATGAAAAATGTGCGGGTAAATTACATCCTTTCATTTAGCCCACATTCACGACACGTGAATAGCAGGCACTGGGACAATACGGAGGTCATATCACATATGTAAGTCACACTGTGGGTGAAATGTGTCACTGAAATAATGAACCTTGAAACTTGGTGAATATTTTTTATCTGCCTCCTGTAACATGGGACTGCCTGGAGGACTTCAGGGAAGAGAAGTGCTATCAACACCCTTCCCTATGAGCCAGGGGAGGGTTAATGGTCCTCCAGGAGCTTAGAAGTTCAGATAATTGTAGATATTCTTTGTGATTCTACCTCAAAATACGACACTGTGGTTTTTTAAAGGTTAGTGCTGCAATGTGCAATGTGAAACCCTATCAGCGAACTTTTTCTGATGCTGTTACATTAACATCCACTGGTCTGTCTTGCACTTTGAATGGATCTTTTACCCATGCATGATTTTGTACTGTCATGCATTAGTCATTTGGAAAATATTGTTTCACTGAGTTAGGCAGATTTTCCAAATATTGACACAGTTCATTAAACAATGTAAGAGTCACATCTGTCAAGCTCACAGTGGCAGACAGAAGTCTTAGAAAGTTCTAAATTTTGTTTGAAAGCTCAAATTTTTATAGACCAGCAACAAATACTGTCAGTTGTCTTCTGTGAAGTGATAACCTCACTTCAATCATTTTTGAGAAAACCTTTGCCAAGCACCCAAGGCTAAACACCAGAGTTTACTCACGGTAGGTCATGAAAAAGGTGGCTCTTCACCACACAACATAAACAATCTTACACCTACTCCTCTCTTTGACACAAGCCTAAGTGCTGTGTGCAGCCTAAGTGCATAATCAGCTTTATGCATCTTCCCATTTTGTCACACAGATGGATAGTAAAGGGACATTGTCAAAAGCGGAGGTTTAAGAAAATCAGTAATATTTTGCGTCCTCCAGGATATTCTTGAACTGTGCGCGCATAGCAGTGAAGACAATGACTACTGTACCCGCAGATGCCTGCAGTGTTACTCATCATTGCTTTTGGACCATCACTGCAAATGTCAACACAGTGAAAAAGGCAAACAGACTGTGTATGATCTTGAATGTATTTCTGAAAAGATCTTGGGGACTCCCAGGGGTCTGTGGACTACATAGAGAGAACTGCTGTTACAGAGAATAGTCGGGACTCTAAGGCAGGCGAGAATTCATAACCTAACTGCAGTGTAGTAGCTCGGTGACCTTTTAATCTCTCTCAATCTCAACTGCCCTATTTCTAAATGGGGACTATAATGTGCCTGGCAGAATGATCCAGTATTGCTTACTCAGTTAGAGGCTTTCTCCCCCCAAAGACAACAGAACAGGGATGATAAACATTACAAACCCAAATGGTGGTGTTGGTTTAATGCCTTCAAGTTAAATGAATTAAATCAACATTTTTTATTTGGAGAAAAAAAAAGGCAAAAACAGTATGACCTCAGAAAATGAGTATTAATTACCATGGGGAGAAAATCCTGAAAATAAAGCTA